CCTCTTACTGTTATCCCTCGTACTCTCTCGACTTCAGAGAGTTAGAAAGAGGCAAAGAAAATTTAATGAATAGGTTTGATCTTCAAAACAAATGAGCTACTTTGGCAAAATGGTGAATGTAGAGTTCAAAGGCTCGAGTGGAAATTCAAATCAGCCTGGAATAAGGGAGTGATCAGTAACAACTGGTTTTGATCAGTTTTGGATCAGATTTGTAACGCTTGTTTGCATCCATGTCTGATCCAAATGTCAGGATCCGGTCGATTTGTTCAGTATTGGCTCCGAACTCTTTGACCAGTGTACGCTTAAATTTATCTCGTCAGCACCTGATCCACGCTTGCTCCGAATGTCAAGATCCAATTAGTCTTATCAGCGCCTAATCAATTTTTCAAGATGAGTCCTCAACATTCATAAATTATCCAATATGCAACAAAAACAAGATTTGGAAGTTTCTTGAAGTCGAATTTTTATTCACTCACAGGGAGAGAAATTTTGTAGAACAATTCTAGTACGAGTACTGGGAGAAATCATAATCCACCAGCTGTGAAAAATTCTAGTGCTGTTAAGGTAAAATTTATTGGTATTTCTGGTAAAATTTCTGGGGATTTGTGCGAAATTTTCACAGAAATACGGGGAAAAATTCACGTTTTCCCCAATAAAATTTCTAGTGCCGACACTGGAATTTTTTCCTGGCTCTCACTTTGCGCCTCTTTTCCTGTGCTAAAACTCACAAGAAATTTCAAATTGGAGCATTACAAAACGGTAACCAATAATTGGCGAAATCACATGAAATCGTTGAAATCACTTTGTTTCGTTCGTTGCAAAGGGAATAAGAACGGTGAAAAAAGCAGTGAATGTTGCTCCCTGAGTGCTGCAAAGTACCTACATATCGGTTAGGATCTCGAGGATAAAGGGTCTGGGATCGATGGTTATTTCCGGTCGATCGAATTGAGCGCAGACGGAATAAAACTGATACTACAGTGTGATAAAAATAAAACTTAATCAGTACACTGGACGGGAAAGTTAAGGGTGGAGGAAAAGGTGGGGCAGGTTTATTTCCTATCCGGGATCATCTAACCAGATGGAAAAAAAATCAAGTACGTTTGACTTGATCGTAAGCTCCCAATTGCCCGGTTAAGTGGAATAATAATACAAACAGACATTCCGAAAAAAATGGCAAATCCAAAAACGAACATAAAATTTGATGGAAACCAGGAATATTCGAAAGCCATCCGGTAAATTTGCAAGGTTGTAGATGATTGCGTATAAAGTTGATTGATTATGTATAATGACAATTACAGAATTAATTGCAGACTTGAAAATTTTGAACAACCACTGTTCGCAGACGTTTTTGGACTTTTAATTGTATCAACTGAAATTCTTGCTCTTCTAATTATTTCTTAAATATTACTTTTTGTGTACCGACGGCAGTGGCTGTGTGGTTGGAGTGTGGGATTGGCATGCGGGAGACCCGGGTTCGATTCCCGGCTGGGGGGGGGCAAAAATTTGTGACACTCTAAATCTCACGGTTTCATTGTCAAGCGGGAGTCTCGCAAGAGACGACTGTACCTGGGCAGGTTTTTCCCTCAAATGAGGTTTTCCCTTGTCCTTCGACAAATGCGGTACAGGGGGTTGGGGGGTGGGAAGGGAACAAATCGTAAAGACCCGAAAGGGTATACGAGAAGAAAAACATTTTTTTTTACTTTTTGTGTCGAAATTGTGAAAATGCAAAAATTACAGAATCTGGATGTGTAGTCAGCAGTTGGTTGCACACACTCCCATCATGAGTGAGCTGGTTAGGGGTGGGTTGGACAGGATGTGACGAGTCGAACCAACAACTTTCCAACCAATCCTGTTTTTCGTATTTGATGTTAGAAAAAAACTGCAAATTCTAGAAGATTCATCAATAACTGAACAAGCGCTGAGACGTTTTCCATCAGAATTCAATCAGACTCTAATTGTATTGAAATACTATGGCTGTGAAGAGAAAATTTAATATCATTTTTTTCAGAAGATGTTGAATTTTGTAGTAATTTCTACATTTTGGGACAGGAAATTGAAACTAGGGGTATGTTGAAGGAAGTGTGACCAATTACGGATCGCATCATTAATTTTCCGACCAGATCCTTGTTTTTCACATGCAAACTTCAGTCTAAAAACAAGTTCCAGGGATCACATTTGCTTTTTGGTGTCATTACAATGACTTTCTCGCTTTGGGTCAGAAAGTTGGCAATTGATTTAACATCATTCTAAAAACTATCCGTCTGAAATTATGGTCGAAATGTTCGAATAGTCAAGACAGCATTTATTTTACCATGCTTTAATACTGGAAAAGTATTCTCATTGAATTGTCCCCCTCAAATACTTCAATTATTGGTACAATCTCGAAGGCCATACTGATCTGAATAATCCATTGAAATTAGGGAGGTGCTTGACGAAGCGAGAAAACGTCGATTAACTCAGTGATAGACTTGTGCCAATGTGCACATCCCCTCTCCCTAACCCAACTAGTGGAAGGACACAACTGATGAGGAGAAAGTGGAGGGGTTGGGGTGAGGGGATGAAAGTCAGGGCGTATGCAAGCGTAACGTGAACGCGCGTGCCTCGAATCAAATGAAGCCAACAAAGCAAAATGCATTGTGGTCGGCAATGGAGGCTCGTTAGATCGACTCAAAGAAAATGAAAGGAAAAATAAGAGAAGAAATGAAGTAACTACCGAAAAAATGAGCGAGATGAAGAGGGGCGGCGATGGAAGGAGGAGGAGGAAGGAGATGCAAAAAGAACGCATCGATAATGAGAGGAACGGTAGGATCGTCCATGAGAACACAATGCCAACTCTAACGAGACAAATCTGACAACGCAAACCCCTCGATTTTCCCTGTTACTTTTACCTCTAACGTTATTCTGAAGCTTTCAAACCTCTGACTAAAGCTAACAATGTTCTTTATCGGTCAATTTTTTCTGCTGCATTTTTAAAAGTGAAAAATCAGCATCAAATATAACTTTCATCTTCGATTTCAATCCGACAATGTGCCACAAATACAGTAATTTAAGCCTAATTGGAAACCTGTTTTTCATTAATTGAGTTAACGAGAGCTTCAATTCAATTTTCATTGTTTAATTTATCATAGATTCTCTCATTCAAGATTGAACGTACAAATATCCATCGAGAATGATCTAAAAGCATGCTGTATAATCGCACAATGTCAAGATATTGAGGAAGTGCTTGCGGGATGTTTTTATTAATTAATTGAGAGTTTTTAAAATGTCTTCTTATTTATTCTCTGCACTTTATTTACACTTTTGATGAACAGAAAATTATATGTGTACAAAAATGCGAGAAGGTTGAAATTGATTTGGATGTTAAATAAATGAAGGATATGGAATCGTAACGATCGATAATTGATTGGTCCCGAAGATATTATCCGAATGAAACCCAATCACGGTGCAATTCGTTAGAAAACGAATGGATGTAATTAGTTACTCGGTAACGAACAAACTGAATTGAATGAAATGTGACAGGAACAAACGACTGACCAAAATTATAATATTGGGCCTCTTAATGGGGCATGCGGACCATGCAGAAAGACTAATCTGAGTGATTCGGTAGCGTAGATTTCTTCAATTCATAATTTTCATAATTTTGTATTGCGAGAGTGGAACGTCGAGAGAGTCAAAGACCACCAGGGTCATACCTTACAAGCATCATACCGTGCAAGGTTCATGGCTCGCAAGATTTAACCGTTACCACGGTTACCATGCGGAAACGGAAAATAGAGTCAAACGACGAGACTGCCGGCAAAAGAAGCGCTCTAGAGGCAGTCTCATCTCGGTATCGTTTCGATTACTCTTGGGCGGTATTTTTGAGATGAGACCAAGACTCAAAAAACGATACTAGTCTCAGTATCGTGCGCAAGCTTACTTTGTCTTATCGGGAATAAATAAACATTATGTTAAAGAGAAACTCTGTACGACGCATGAGAAATTTGTGAAAGAATGGTGAAATTTTCAAGTCGAGAATTTCGACTCAATAAGAAAAAAAAGAACCATTGTCTACAATTTCCCCCTTACGTGGTGTTTCAGAGCGTCGTGGAATTTAAAAGCTTTTCTCGACTATTTTAATATAATTTCTGATTTTTTTCATCCCTATCCCAAAGTCTGTGTTGGTTTCCGATCTTGAAAAGTAAATGTATTTGAAATTTTTCATTTTCTGGGAATCTACCTTTTGTTTGAATAAAATTATTAATAAAAAATGTCGGCATGCAACAATTAAAAAATTATTTTGTTGGCTAGGTCCAGGTTGTACATATTTGTTTGCCACCAATATCTCAGGAAATAATGAATAAGTATAGACCTACTACCCGCAGCAAATACTAGAAAAATTACCGTGCTCGCATCCTAAACTGTATTCAAATGGCTCCGCAGGGTAAAGACTATTGCGATGAACAGGACAAATTACTATTGTTACAGGACTTCTTTCCGTCAAATTGGATAATTTTTTACGAACATTTAAGCAAATTTCCCATGTGGGACAGAAAAAGTGTGGGACTCGACTTCTTGCATGGAATTCATGAAATATTACTGGTGTTATAAAGATTATTTTGTGTACACAAGAATATTGGCTGGTTTACCAATGATCTTTTACTGTACTAGTATCAGATTATTTCCGGCGCTGGAAAACTGAGCGTTCTTTACTGTATGGCACTGCAAATTTTATCTGGACTTATGGGAAAGAATTCTCGTATTTTGTCGGAACCCAGTATTGTGGATGAAAAATGCTCACCCCTTCTGTTACATTTTTTAAAGATTCAGTCAGAAAATAAAACAATTTATGACCCCTCGACGATCCCCTCTAAACTTACTCATTGTAGAGATATTCTCAAAATAATCTATCTTAAATTCCCCATCACCCCATTCTATCTTCCCCACCTTGCTGTACATTCATATCGTAAGAGAAGAAAAATGAAAAAATTAAAGTGCCATTTTAAAATTTGATGTTCCAGCGAGTTCACCTGAGCCACGCCAGTGCCCTTACCTCGGTAAATTTACAGTGACTGGTGTAAATCGAAACCCACGTAACATCCGTGAAAATCGTCGCCAGTCAAGTGATAAGAGCGATGAAATGCGGGTTAGACATTCTGACGATCGTAGAGGACATAAATTTGACTTTGATGTTGAAAAAAAGAAGGCAAACAATGAGTATTTGATACACGAAAGACCAGGTAGACGAGTAAGATCAGACAGAATGAGCCGAGCACACGACCCAAAGGTTGTGAGAAGAACGAGAAGAAAATCAAGATCAGAGGTTCTTGATGGGGTAAAGAGAACTCCGAGAAGCACAAAAATTGAGGACTTTCACATTGACGCTGAGGAACTGGGAAAACTCGGTGAGTTTTCGGACTTGGAGGATGTATCGAGTATGGTTCAAGTACAGGATGAATACTTTGGTGATTACGAGATGGAAAAACCTGAGAAAAGATCGAATTATCTGACTTATGAGGATCTTTTGACGTTTAGGAGAGATGTTGAAAATGACAAATATGCTGATGAGTTTAGTGAAAAGAGGGAAAAAAGAGAGGAAGAGGATTCAAGATGTACGTCGGAGGTGACCACTTTGAATATCGGTTGCTCAACAGCTGATCGCATGGAGTTTCAAAGTGACTGTGTTGATGAGAACAACGCTATTACCGGTAAGTCACTTTTTCTGCAATATCAAATGGAAGTATATAGTTCTAGATAAACAATAAACTATTGGGAATCTAGCGGAAGTTCTGGTTCAAAACTCTAATTGACGAGTGATTCCTTACTAATAGGCTTTTCTCTCAAAATGCATTAAAGAAAGAATTTGATGTTTTAATGTTCTAAATTTGAGTTATATTTCTATTTCAAAGGAATATGAACATGACTCAAGTTTTACAGAATAAGCGTGTATACTGTAAAATATCGAATCAATTTTTTTCCAAATTGATTAAGCTAATAAACTGAACGGCATTTTCTGTTTTCATTCGTAATTCGAAATATTGCCCGGTGGCTTGGCGCGGTGGGTAAGTTCGTTGCCTCATGTGCGAAAGGTTTCAAGTTCAAAACCCGGCCGGGTAGAACGGTGAGATCTAACCACACGGGGAGAAATTTTTTAGAAACATTCTAGTGCTAACACGGGACAAGAGGCGCAAAGAAAAAAGAGAAAAAATTCCAGTGCCGGCACTAGAAATTTTATTGGGGAAAACGCGAATTTTTTCCAGTATTTCTGTGAAAATTTCACAGAAGTCCCCAGAAATTTTACCAGAAATACCAAGAAATTTTACCTTAACAGCACTAGAATTTTTCACAGACGGTGGATTGCGATTTTTTCCAGTACTCGTACTAGAATTTTTCTAGAAAATTTCTGTCCGTGCATTTAAAGTCTTGATCATCATCGCAGCATACCCTAACCGGGTCGAACCGATGTAAAATAATGCTAAAAACATGAAACTATTTATCTGCGAAATACTAAAATTGGAAAATAAACAACATTAAAAGTTGTCCTACAATGCTAACGTCCCCGGATATAACATAAGCATTTTTGGTATCCAATCGAGAAGAAGATAGCGTGGATAACAAGAATGGTGAACTTGATCCTAGAAATCTGTGTTTTTTCCAAGTGAATGATACCAAAGTAATTTTTTTCAAAAAATGTAGAATCAGTAAAGTTGAAAGAAGATTTTTCTCTCCTTGTTGCAGCTTATTCGTGTCACGGAAGATGGTTTGATGCTGAGGGTACGCAATTTGTGATAGCAACCCCACTGGCGCGCAGAACCTTATGGTCAAATAGTAACAATGAGCCCCAGGCATTTCGTAACAGCAGAAGATTGTGCTTCATGTATCGTGAAAGTGGTGGTGTCGTTAGTCTGACTGCAAGTACAATCGCGTGTCAGAGAGAAATTCCACCACCTCCACCAATGTTGGCATTCAATGCTACCAGTATCGGTAAGATAGTTTCTTTGATTACAAATCTATACATCTGAGACATAACGTCGGCAATACATTATTTACTTCATTTGCTCTTCTTATTTGTCGTGGATATAGGAAGCTAATTTTATCCGATTTTACCTCGTTATAAGTTCTACGTTCTCAGTAAAGTGATAGGCATACATTAATTATTTCCTAATCATTTGACTGGAACTGGAACATATTGTAACTGGAAGATTTGTAATCGCGTTATTTATTCTTCCAGAATTTGAACCGGAATAAGTCCACAATAACTCTTCAACATTAGTCTAGGCCCACACAAAAATGTCAGAAAACCTTATTATAAAAAAGAGTTATAAATTCCTGCAAGACATTATTTTTGAAGGTGTTGTCTACACAAGTACTTCGCTAACAGAATTTTTCGTTGATTCTTTATAACAAATAATGTGTCTTCTGAGACTGTACATTATTTTTAGACATTCGGAGGTGTTGAGTTAACACAAAAATTATCATCTAAAGAACGACGAAAAATTTCAGTGAACGAAATTCTATTAATACGGAAGTATATTACTGCGCTATTAGCCGAATCAGTTCTACCGGGGAAAAATCTCATATGAACCTCAGCTTGTTTTATAATATTTAAATTAAATACTTCGGGTTTATCGTTTCAGGGCAATGCATGGAGGACAATGGCAGTCGCAGTATTCAACCCTCTCATTTCCTCGTCATTATTTTCATCTCACTGCTAATTCAGGTGCTAAGATGATTCTGATAGTCATCCTGATATGGAATAATCTTCCCCTAAATAAAACTAAAAACAATTCTTTGAATAAATTATGAACAACATAACAGCAATGCACTTGCAACAGCAGTGCTGCGAAGTGACTTTTTCTATCCAAATTTAATGATAAAGTCGCCACAAATGAATTAACAACAAATTTTTTTATAATGACGAAAATTTAAGAAAAGCTTGAAAAAAAAATTAGTTCATATCAAGGCGCGTGACAAAATCGAAAAAAATCGTTTAAAAACTGAGAATGATTTCCCATGGATTGAATGAATGAAGGATAATGAAACAAGAGCGGAAAATATGTGCAGAAATACGGAAAAATGTCGTGCGCACAGCTGTTAATGTTTTAACAGTAGAATTGTAGATAAAAAACTAACTCTAAAAGCGAAAGAAATAATAATACTAATTAATAATAATAATAATAATAATAATAATACTAACAATGAAGAATATAAAACGTGTACAGTATTATGTATGCGTTGAATTGTATTTAAGGAGAATGTGATTAAATGCAATACAACTTCTGAGACGTGAAAATAATTCAATGTGACGAGGACTCTTCTTCAGAAGAATGGAAAAGGCAAAGAGGAATGGAAGAAGATGAGTGGAAGGAAGGAGAAAAGTGGAGTTGGGGAAGAGGGACAAAAAATAATTGAAGGAACAAAGTATTATTCTGAAGAGATAAGGTAGCAAATAAAGTGAGGATTCTGGGTGATGAGGGGCACGAATATGTAAATTGCTGTAACTGTGATCAATTATATTGCGCAAATGGAAAAATTAATAAACATGTTAACATCGTTAGAATTTATTTCGCCTTAGACAATTCAAATTGCTAACAGAAGAAATAAAAATTAAATTTTTTATAAAATTTTGAATCATTTGAATAAAAAAACAAAATTTGATTTTATCAAAATAGTATTCCTTTCATTACTCTTCCTTCATCATCGGCATGACTTGAATGGAATTATCGAACAGTTGAACTTCATTCAATTTTTACATTCATCGATTTTCATGTAGTCAAATAATTTTTGTTCACTGATGCAACGATTTTAATAAAATAGACAAGCAAATAATGACAGTTTTTTACATGTAGAAGAATGGAGCAATAATTCATCAGAAAGTTGTGATGACAGTGAGCTAACAAAATGGTTAAATATCGATTTAATTAATTTGCGGAGAGGGCAAAAATGAGAAAACAAGTGTGTAAACGGGAAGGATTGAGGAGGATTTGCGAGGATATTATTGTAACTTATACAGAGTCTATATTGTATTATTATCTTGTATCTTTATAATAAGTAGGTGGTAGAAAATCAATCTTAACGGATGTGAATACTGCTGAGGGTTGTATAGAAAAAAAAGTCAAGAAAATCAAGAGTTTTTTAATGCCAAACAGAGTGAAAACATTTTTTACCATTTTATCCGCATGATTCACTGAATTATCCTTCTATATAATGAGAAAATAGTCAGCAGGAAACTCTGGTTGCAAACACTGTGAATTATCGAATTTTTCTTCAATATGCCTTATTACCCCTCTAAATATTTGAGCAAAAAACATCCGCACTCGAGTGAAAAAGTCTCATATCTCGACAACTTTTAAACTAAAACCGGCTCGCCTTCAGTGTTTACAATCGGCAAGCTTCCTAGCAATTTACCTATCCAATACCCCCCTCCCCCGATCCTTAAACTCAATAAGCCTCCCCGAATGTGATAATTTCAGTAGCAAAGTGGTTAAACTGAGTCAACTTGATATCAAGGTGCATTCTTGATAGTTGTCTTGGAATATAATGGAAATAAATGAATTTTATAGAAACCTTGGTTTTAGAGGGAATCGGAAGCTATAAACAAAATTTGCAGGGCAAAGTGAAGCGTTTGTTATCCACTCAAAATCCCAATATCTCTATTTGTAAAAGATGATATCAAGAACTAAAGTAGATCGCAAACATTCCACTTCACTCTACTCTCCCGTATGCAAACTCCGTCAACTCGTCTCAGTTCAAATTAGGATAGCGATTCAAACCATTACTCCACTCTACTACTGACTCCTAAAAAGCGAATTTTTTAACGCACAATTATCTAACCATCTCCATAAACCCTGAGTTAACACAAAAAATAGGATTAACGTGTAATAAATTGCATAATTAGTCATGTAATTAGGTAACGATGTATAGAACGAGGAAAAAAATAGATTTTAATATTAAGAATTTTCTAAATCAACAGAAACGTAATAAGCTCATTGTGACAGCAATCAGAGGATTATTACTTGTGGTCACAAGGATTTTGAAAAAATTGTAAATGATTCACACCCCTCTCTTCTTTTTCAAGGTATAATGATAGTGAAATTCTATTATCCTCGATTCACTGCCCCATGATAAAATAACAGAGGGAAATACCAGAATCCGAATCTCCAATTCAAATCAACGATAATTAGGTATCCAAAACGTCAACAAACATCGTTACAAGCAGATCCCGCTTGCTGTACTATCCCTTGGGATTTGGGAAACATAATGCATTCGTTTTAATGAGATTGATGCAATCAGTGAATACATTTAATTTTGCCAGTCAATAGCGAACGGTGAATTTCAGTGGTTTTAACGATTTTTGGTGAACTCACAGAATTGTCATAAGTGGGATCAGATTGGTAGTGCAATTATTTCGATGGGTGATTTATGAGAGTTTGTAATCCAGTGTGGAGAGTGAAATGAGAAGAATGAGATGATTTACTCTTTCACGTATGGGGTCAATATGATGTATCGACCTTTGCAAATGTCAACGTCTACTTTTAAAATTCATTATTTACAAATCTATGAAAAATATCGTGACCAAACGAACAAAATTGGAAATCACAATACCGTAGCTTCAATTAGATTCGAGTCCTAGTCAGCGCACACTATGCTTGATAGTGGAAGGACCTAGTTCGTGAGGGACTAAGTGGTGATGAGTGGAGGGGGCGATGAAATTTTCGATGTGAATAGATTAAGAAAAGTTTTCTTCGGGGATATATTTCTTTGAAAGAATTTAATTGGAAAAAAATCCTCTTCGTATTTCTACAGTGTCATATTGAGGTCTGAAACTTCTGTGTTTCCAATGACGAAAGTTTGATTTTCCGAATCCAAATTTTTGTATTTGAGAATTTTTTTAATCCACTAGATCAAAAATCCGGCGCGTTCACATTGACATGAATTCTTCATGAGAAGATGAAGGAATCCTTGAGAAATGAATTATCAATACGATATGGATACGAAACGATATGAAACAATGTTCATGAAATATGTGATATGGATACGATATAGATACGACATGAATAGAGAAAAATATGTTTGAATACAGTGAAAATGAATTCTTATTCTCGCATCCTTAACGGGAACATATTTTGAAGGTAATAAATACAGTCAGTGCAATACAAATACTCAGCCATTCCTCAGGACTCATCTCCACTGTTTTCTAGGTGAACCATCTAAATGAGAAGAGTCAAAAATATAAGAGAAAGTATCGATTTGACGAGAACGGGTCTAGGGTTTTTAATTCTTTCAATTCTGTGATTATTTCTATTATATATTAATATCTTTAAAACTCACAGTCTTACAGTGACATGTCAAGATCAAGCGTTGGAGATCGTAGAACCTCACACGGAATGGGTCTGTTAAGAATTTTGATTAAGGCTCTTTCTTTAAAGATATTTACAATATAGTCTGTAATTCCCTGAATTCTGCTCTCACCCTGGGTCCTTCACCGACGTTTTACAGAAATGGTCACTTTTGCACTGTTGAATTTGAGAATAAAGATAGTTTTGCAAACTGCATGCATCATTTTGATTCAACGGGAACTCAATTGAAGAAAAACTTGTTAAACTTTTATCCATAAAAATCGAATCCACAGATTGAGAATTTACAAAACCTCACAGTTTGTAAATATTAAATATGAAACTCGGATAATCCATTTAAGTTAACGAATGAGAACATCATTCAAATTTCACCTGTCGAAATGACTGCCTACGTCATAGAGAAAATGATACTCTCTTGCGAAATTCCCAACATGATAATTTCACTTGAATAAAATTGAGAATTAAAAATTATTGTCGTTGACCTCTATCGAACCAACCCTAGGAATGTTTCCAATTTTAATCAATTTCCACTCAAAAATTCAAATATATGTGCAGAGAGGATCGGATGGAAAGGATTCTCGAAACTCAATGAGAACTGAATGTGTAAAAAAACTCACTTCAAATAGTTTTCAGTTTGAAGAATGAAGAATAAAAAAAGCAAAAGATTATGGAACATTACTAAACGAGAAACGAATTAATTAATTGATGAGAAAAAATTTATCCGTGAGTTCATGAACTGCTCAGTCTATCGCTTTCTCTTCGTTGGATTAAATTACAACTAAAGATGGAGAGGAAGGAAGGAAAATGTTTTTGATTGGAACAAATAAGGAAAGTAAATGAGAGAAATTGATGGAAAAGCAACTCGAAAACTGAAAATAACTGTAAAGCAGATCGGAAGGAAAGAAGTGAAGAGGAAAATCTTGTAATCTCTTGAATGAATGGTCAAAAGCAATACTTGATGTGGTTGCAAGCGAGAATGTTGTTGAACGAAACGAAAAATGTGGGAGGAAATAAAAAAAGAGATGGGAAGAACAAATATGAAAGAAAAATACGTGTGTAAGCTACCTGTGCCTTGTAACAAAAAATATATATGAATATATATATGATATATATATATTATACACAAAGATTCATTGTGACCAAATGCGTTGGTATTTCCTGACCTGATCCCTTTGGCTAGATACACCAATGAATTTTTTTTTTATTTTGCAAATAATTGTTCAAGTATTCATTATTGTTCCGATTTTCTGTTTAAGCACTTCCAATGTATCGCTATGTTCCATTCAGAATGTAACGCGGAACGATAGTGATAAATGCGAATTTATTCGAGTTCCGTGAGGCGCAAACATTCTGAGATTTAAAACATGGAAGATAATTTACTTCGCTTAAGCAAATATGGTCTACATATGAGGCAATTTCTCTATCAGTGTGGGGTGTCCCATTACTCTGTAGATTCATTGGAACGAGTTGTGATCAATTGTGTGATCGATGGGAGAATTTTTGGTGAATTCATTGATCAATTCCTTATCTACTGATTTAGGGCCGATTACACTAACCCCTGTTAGTCAGATAAATCATCAAATAAGTTGTAAAAATTTAGGAATTCGTCGTAGCGTGTTTCCATTCAGCCATTCCGCCGTGAATATGGACCAACTTTTGATAATTAATAGTGTTGCAAACAGTGATAATACATTTGATCGTAATTGATGGGCAGATTATTTTCATTTATTCCAATAGTTAACTGAGGATTTTTGTAACTGGGTTTGGTGTAAATGAGTTTTAGTGTCGTTAGTTCAAAAAGATAACATAATAATGATGGAAATAAACAGAAAATAAAATGATGAAGCTCTTTTCAAGCATAACAATTTACGCTCGACATCAGATATGGGAAAAACCTTTTTTGTGACATTTTAATAAATCAACGTAAGCGGAAGAAAGAATAAATAAAAATCTTCACGTCACCACCCAGTAAATGGGGGAGCCGTGCATTGAATTATAATTTTCATTGAGTCACTATTATTCTATCAATTCAACGAGTCACGCGATAATATAATATATCGGCATGTTGAACCAAACGTTCCAGGGAAGGGAGAGAATTTTTTTACGAAAATGTGTAGTTGAAAATAAAACGTTTAGATATCATTGACATGGACTGTACCAGATCTGGCGATAAAAATATTATTTTTGCATCCTGTTTATCAATCATCAGAAAGCGTCAAAGTAATGGATGAGAAAGATAAGAAATAATCTGAGAAATAATTCCTCATTCCTATGATAAAAATTCAATTTTGGAAATTGCTGAAATGAATTTCTTACAATTAGTTAACAGAAAATTATTTCCATTTACAGAATCGGGCAAACCAAAAAAGAAAGAAATTAAAATGACAAATTATTAATAGCTAAATATCAATAAAAATAAACGGAAGTGGTTAATAACCCTGAGATTAAATTCACGAATGCAGTGTTCTTGATACCAAGCACGTATCGATAGTCACGTTAGGTGGTTATCTCAAAGCCGGTCGATTGCTTCGTGGATGAACGCTCACTGCGTTTCGGAATCGATCGACCTCTGAAGTAACATCAGAGTAGAGCGAGCATCGGAGCGTCGCACTACTCGCCCCACCGGATGCACAAATATCATTTTCCCCATGCAACTATGTATATCTCCACCCCCACACCTCCTTGTACTGCTCCTCGAACACGGTCAACTTATTTTCAAGCTTCGTATCAAGTTTTTTTCGTTTTTAGTGAATATAATCGCTAACATTGTCGAGGGACATTCATCCATTGAGAATAATGAATAAATCAAACAATACGGATTTGAATAATTCAAGCACATTTTTTCTGTGGGAACAGATAACATGATCAATTGAATTATTCAATTATCCCATTTCCGGATTCAGAAAATTGAAGAAATTCGAGTGAAACAATTTTACGATTTTGACTTTTCCCAAATTTTGTCATTGAGCAAATTTTTCCCACATTGAGTTGAGCATAAGTTTTGCGACTCCTCGTTTATCTACGTTAAATTCTATTTGCTGTTGGTCGAATTGAATACCGTGACCTACAGAATCCAACCGCTCGACTTGCCCGTTGAGCCCTTAGTATGATGATGCAGTACGACTTCAAAATCGTGCACCATAGAGGCACTCTACATCGCGTACCTGCTGCGCGTTTTCGCGTAAGCGACGATAAGTGGTATAACAATACAGTCCACCAAGAGACTGTGTTACAAACGATCTACGAAATAATTCTGCAAAGTAATCATTAAACTAATACAATACTCAATAATTAGTATCAAACATTCAATGTATGTGAATATTCATATAATTATCTAGGTAATGAATGATGTTTTGAAAAAACTTCAACAAAAACTGCATCTGAAAACCTCAATTCAACTCTACCTCAATTTTTCAAAACCTTGTCATTCTTGAGATATTAACAGCATAATTTTCGATTTACTTTGAAACTTTCCGTTCCCGCTTTACTACTGGACGGGCATCCCCCCTCCGCATGAACTTGATCCATTGAACGCGAAAAAGCAAGATCAACGTATATACTCTCCTTTTTTTTCTTCCACTTCACTGATTTAATAATGACATTCCATGTTAATTGATGACGGAAGCGTGATATCACTCTAGATATTCACGAGACAAGTAACTCAAATAAGAAAAATTTGGAGGGAGAAGACATTCACAATTGCCAGTTTGGTGGAAGGAGACTCCAGTCGCGTCAGACCCATCGAGTTATACACTCGATCGTTCACTCGTCATACCAGCTATATCTTTCATCAGACGAGTGTCTGCGAGACTTATAAATACCTAAGCACTGTAACAAAGTTGTTCACTTTTACAATAAGAATATTTTATTTATACGGTGACAATCTTTCTTTCAATTTTTTCTCACATCTCCCAAGTGTTGTGTTATTGTCTCTAATTTGAGGTGTTTTTCTAGAGCCCTAGTTGAGTGTCAAGTGTTGGATTAATTAAACTTCCGTTGAAGTAAAGGTAAAGAACATTTTACGTTAATTTTTAGTTGTGTTTCTAAATCTGGGTTGTGATTCGAGATTTTTCACGCGTAGCAAATTTTATTTTTACGGTTCTGCAATACTGTAAATATCAAAACTATTCCCGGAAATAATGAATTTTAGTTGAAGTATGGATATCGGTCAACGCGGATGACCGCACGTGAAATCAACACCTTGCAACTACGACAGTCTACATGTCATGTGCAACTGTTGACGATGGAATACATATTGAGTTACGTTGCAAGATACAGACAAACCAGTACATTGATAAAAACTGACATATACGCGCGGTTAATTGTCACACGGGATTGCACTGGATAGTTGACTCCTCAGCTTTATACAGAAAGAGAGTTATGCAAAAATGAAAAACACTTTTCTCAAATAAACTTTTTTCAGATGTATCGGAGCAATAGGATTAATTTTAGTAACGACAAAATAATGAGACGGCGTTCATACTATTCTGTATAACCATCTACTCCAAGGTACAACATTGTTATACACGTGGTGGTGATGATTCTTATTAACTCACACTGAGCAAATAGTGGTGAAGTCTAATTTGCATAAATGTGATAAATTCACTAGTGTGACTACAATGGTCACATGGAAATTAATAATGCTCACATCATACAAGGATCTGTCGATTTCAATGTAAAAGACTAACAAATCCTAGGAAGCAGTAGTAAAGTACCTGCTGTAACTCATATCAAACGATTGACTTTTCAAGTTTTTTTTCAAGTCGGAGTTGAATTCCACTCACTCCTGCTCTACTCAGCCTCACCGCATTGCTTCCCAATTCGGCCATATTTTCATTATCATTATTTTTCCAAATCATTTTTCAAATTCAATTCCAAAGCATTTTTTTCAAATTATTTTTCCAGATATCAGTTGCCTGATATTTTGCAAAGACAAAATATCATTGAAGTGCCTTTGTTTCTCCTATGACGTAAAATGGAAGAATTCAATTTGTTTTGAAAGTCAATAAATTTCGAAGCTGTTTTTCCTTCAATTCTCTGCAGAGTTTCCCCATCATCGAATCTGTTGAAAATTCAGTTCCACGATTTGTTATGATAACAAAATATTCTTTATAAATTCTTGATTCTTCCGTAGCAAACAATTAAAAAATTCTTTGCAAAATATGCATCAATACGGAATACTTTAATGTAGCTAAGCCGAATAACTGACGATTCTTATCTCGCTTCGCTCTACTAAATCGCGGTTTCCGGGCCCAGACCATAAAATAGTTTATATCACACGGCCCAAACAGTAATTCTGATGAATGTAATTATAATCTTTGATATTTTGTCGGCCTAGTGATGAAATCCACCATTTCTTTCATAGTTCTCCAATCCCTTTTAAAATTTCTCATCTACAAATTCTTCCCAAATTAAATTTCATATTTTTTTGAAATTCGTTGCCTCACATGCGAAAGGTTCCGAGTTCAAATCCCGGCCGGGTAGAATGGTGCGATCTAACCATTTAAAGTCTTGATCATCATCGCAGTATACCCTAACCGGGTCGAAGCGATGTAAAAATAGCGATAAAAAAAAAAATTTTCGAAACTAAAAAACATTTTATATGTATCTTCTGGTTGCTAATCTTGGGGAATGAGAGACATCATCTAACATCGAATTTTTTTAGATGCCAGAATACTTATTTCCTCACAATCCATTGACTTCTTAAACAAGATAGTATATTTGTGGACGAGTGCCATGGTATTTTTTACTTGCGTGGAGTTGGCGTCCGAGCCGAAGGTGAGGACTGGCCAACCATGCGAGTAAAAACACCCTATGGCACTAGTCGTGAAGGATATTTTTCCGTAGTGATTTTCACTCTTACGAGTTTGGGGAAGGACCAATACCAATCCCCGGATGAGGGGAAAAGTGAAGGTCAGTACGGAAAATTTGTTATATAAAAATTGAAAAAATTGCGGTGCATGATATCTCGTAACAAAACCACATGTTTTAGGAATTATTGTCCCTGCTATCTCGTAATATGGAAGAATGACGGATATACCAGATTGTTATGCTCACGTGTAGCCCATTAAATTATAACCGTCTTTATTTCCTGCAACACTGCATTCTATCAGTCATTGTCTACTATTGTCTAGCGGTACGTGTCTTATCTCCCCTAAATCATCTGTGGAAATTTCTAAATTTCTTCTCAATAAATTCGTGTACGTGTCTTATCACCCCTAAATCATCTGTGAAAATTTCTAAATTTCTTCTCAATAAAATCATGATGATTATTTTTATTCTGCTAAGTCTTGGACATGTAAGCAAATACTTTAATAAATAACTGCAGCTTCCAGTGGCACCGAGAAGCCTCGACACTGGCTGCACATGATTCAGGGTGAGCAATGTCCCCGAATATTTGGCGTGTTCGATGAGCTGTGGAGAGATAACCGGTTGTGAGATAATTGGCACCGTTCACGTCCAAAATGTTCTGCCACTGAAATTACCAACAATGAGTTCGATTTCTTTGCATGATAATATGTATTTCTCGATTGATTCAGCTTTACTTTTCTTTTGATTCCGGTGATAAGAAAAATGATTGGCTTAGAGCCTGCGGCAGTCTAATTACAAGGTTTGTTCTACATTGCGAAAAACTCTAGTTTGAAATTTCAGAACTCTGTGGTACTGAAATCTAGAGAGAGAAAATTTTAGATTTCCCTATAATTTTCACTTATTATACAAGAATTTCATTTCATTTTCTTTCATTTGCTGATCAGCAATGAATTTTCTTCATTTTCATAATCAACAAAAAACCCGAGTGGAATTTGCTTTAGACGAGCCTGAGATTTGATAAGGTCTTAATATGTCCGTTGTCAGATTTGACTAATCAGGTGATACTTCATGAGGAACTAATCAATTCTTGAGTTAATCAATCTGATCCAAAATACTCTGATCAAGTTAAAATTCGGCGAAACTGATCTGAACCTGAGATCCATCCGCCCGCAATCACTCTGATCAAGCTCGGATTCGGTGGGCCTGATCTTAAAGGTCGGTCTGATCTCAAAATCAGGAGTCCGCCTACAATTGTTCTGATCAAATTTGGATTAGGTGAGCCTGGTCTCATGGGGGTCACATTGGGTCATATGTGCCCATATGGGGTTGTGTGGAGGTCATATGAGGTTATATGGAGGTCATATGGGTTCATATGGAGTCATATGGTGTTATGGGGTCATACAAGGATCGCATCAGCTCATACAAGCACCATATGGCGGTCATACGGGATTATATGGAGTGATATGCACTCACGTGGGCTTATATAGGGTCATGTGGGGCCACATAGATGTCACATAGAGCCAGATGGAGTCATAGGGGGGTTCTATGGGCTCATAAAAGGGTAATATAGGGATCGTAAGAGTCATATGGGTGGCACTATTCGAAACAATAAAAAATAAGAGTAATAAATTTCAAAAATAGAGAATCCATTCGGAAGCATATTGCTAATTTGTTAGCGGAATTTTGGCGGAAACCATCCAAATTACTTTATTCGTATTTTTTCTTCAAAACTATCTACATATCTCACTCTAAAATCTTTAATACTCTTCTCTTATTTTCGTATTAGAAACCCCGCGAAGAGCTATAAACCACAATCAAATTTGCTCTTGATTTCCATATCTCATTCTTCAATAATTTTTCCACACTCAGCCCTAAAACGAAATAGACCGATGGACATTTTCGATAATGGTTTCAAGGCTTAAGGTTTCGATTATAAAAATCCAACAAAGCGTGTCGAGAGCCGATTTCTGTAACATCCACAGCTGAATTATAGACCGAAACGACCGTGGGATCGACTGGCAATGAAATGACGCTATCTTTCTGAATTGGTTTACCGGTTTATAATAACTTACAGGTGTACCAACATCCTCATAATGTCACTGATATCAATCATTCCCTTCTATAAACGATCTGAATCTATTTGCTTTTGAATCATCAATCGTAATTGCTGTTTTATCGTACGCTTTTTTTATTCTTACTATAATACCGAGGAATTGAAGCTTACAATTTAGATAGGAATTTCATTGATATTTGCAAAATTACTTGAATATAGACACAACTTTATCGTTGTCAATATTTATGTGCATCGATCAAACGGAAGTTTAAGTTTGACGTCAAAGTTCCATTATCGGTTTGTTGTCAATATTTCGATAGGGAGTCGGAAAAGAATAACAAAAGTCAAAAAATCCGATTGTTCTACAAGTATCTTAGGAAAAGAGGTTCAAGGCAAACGGTACGACTGTTTGCACCATCTATAAGAATCACAGTCTGGGCCCACATGGATAAATTTACCCTGGGGTAAAAATAGCTAACAGGGCTCGGTGCAACCGGGCCTTATAGATGTTGTAATCAATTAATTAAAATCTGTATATAAGATATCAGAATTAATCATTTCTGCGTCTCTGGATTTCTTTCGTCAAAAAGATGTTAAATAATTCCTAGTTATGAAGCAAAGCAAATCGTCACATAAGTCACAATTCGACACATCCCGGAGACTCAATTCATCACAACACCAAAACACAACTGAATAATATCTGACCTGTGCGTGGAAATTCTATAAATCCCCCCACAACACATTCCTGAGGCTCTAGGCCACTGTGTTGGAGAGCGACTTTTTTAGGATTTATATTCTTGTTTGTTCTGATAAACCGTAGAGTTCGATGTATAAATTATTGAAATTAGTTTGAAGTCAGGTATTGTATCATATTACAGAAAATGTTAATTTAAAGATTTAAATCCGAGCGCTACTATCTAGTGATTTCGCCGATAATCTAGGTACCCTACGTGGCCTACATCCCCGACACTTTTTTACCGATGATCGGGCCTAACGCCATCTCACCACCTCCACCCCATGACGTCGTACTAGCCCTATTTTGTGATTCCCCACTGTGATTCCCCAGTGTTACGTCCCAAGCTGGTGGTTTGCTCGTTCAGATGGCAGGTCCGTTGCCAATGGAGTGCTAAACCACTCTGCTCCACAAGTGCGGGAATATTCGAAAGAAAAGTAGACAAAACACTGAATTTATACTGGCACACAATATTCCGTTTAATCAATTTAGACTTGTTAAAAATTTTACAAGAACAACTTGGTAAACTCTTGAATATAAACTTGAACTGATTATCGCTCTCCAACTTCTCTCGTCCACGTAGGTGGTGGATCTGACTCTTACCCTTACTCTAAAAATTAGTCTAAGTCTCGCTAGTTACAAAGCTCTTCCCACAGGAAAGAGTAGGGGACCAATCGTGACCCTGAACTTGGTCGATAGGGTTGGTCTTACACCCACACAGTCGATCGCGCTGGCCCAGCCCCGAACTCTCGAGAGTACGTGACCCGAACAATGGGCCTGACATGTGGTACGGAGTGAGAGAGAGAGAGAAAATACTTGAGTTTCTCTCGGGGAAGAATAAACTGTCTCCGGGAAAAGGTTTTATGACTCTCACGGTTTGATGTTGAGTTCAAATTGCACTCGAAACTCTATTAGAAAAAACAAATACAAAAAAAGGCTTTATTTTCGAGAACGTTGAGGAATTTTGGGTTTTATAACTTGTTTCCTGTTTACGCGAGTTTTCAATGTACTTGCTAAAAGTCTGTTTCTTCTCTTATTTTCGACCGTGAGAATATTTCGACTAACGTGAATTTAAAAATTATAAAAATTATTGAAGAAATAATTTGAATCTCAATGGTTTAGTCTGGTGGAAAATATGACGGTCATAGGGACCCTACGTCGCTACTAGGGGTCTATGCGACAACAGTAGGACTGACGAAATTGTTCCCCTAGAAACTGTAGTACTCTCATTCCCCCACCACTCATTTCGGTGGAACAATCTCGCCAGTCCTACAGAACTTTAGTCTATCCTCTGTAGCCCCTTCCCCTACTTTAGTCTACCCTCTTCGTTCATGACAAAACAAAAAATTAACTAATTTAATTATAACGGAGTTATAATACTTCTCTAATGACAAAGATCCTAATATTTGCTAGAAAATGGAGCGTAGTCATCTTTCAAACTCCTTAGTCGATTTATGATGGGTTTAAGAGGGACTATGCAATGTTGAGGTTATAACGGTGAGGTTCTTGCCTTCACAACGCTGGAAAACTTATCATGTATTATTTCCAATAGGGAATGATTCAGTGGTCTGTCACTATTTAGTATTAACACTATCTACTCTATTCACTATTTAGTCATATTATTTGTTATTTCCTTTTCAGATTTTCCTCTAGAATATGGCCACGGTTCATTTCGTGTGGGTATTATTCACGCTCGGTAAGATCATAATATTATATTGGATATTTACTTTCATATTTTAATTATGTAATTTCAGGGAATTGAAATTTTTTTTGTTTTTAATTCTAAATAATTTAATTAATTATTTCATCAATCTTCCTCCCAAAATTAGACTTTTTATTCTTTTTTCAAATATTTAAAATGCTTATTAACAGTTCGATATCGAGATTCAAACTCCGACCTGCGAAATTTAAATAATAAAATTATTGTAAAACGTCCGGAAACTTAGAATCAAATGGAGCTCAAATGAAAGTTATAATTTTCGACTACAAACGTAGAACAGTATATTTCAGGGAGAGTGCCACGGGTTTTTTGTACTCGCGTGGTGTTGGTGTCCGAAAGCGAGGACTGGCCAACCACGCGGCTAAAAAAAACCCATGGCACTAGTCGTGAGCGATATTTTTCCGTAGTGATTTTCACGTTTACGAGTTTGGGGAAGGGCCAATACCAATTCCCAGACGAGAAACAGTTCAGGTCAGGACGGAAAAAGTATTCCACTAGAGAAAAAATAGCTAAAGTACTTGAATATCCTTAATAAAAAGAGAAGTATCAAACGGACAGGGCCTAGCCGGATGATCCTGGGGAAATGCCACTACCTGTTTATGTGTCTGAAATTTTTTCCCTTACCAGTGATAACTTTGTATTGCGTATCTTGTATTTTTTGTCTAAATTATGAAATTATAATACTCAATTTTTTTCAAACTGAATTTCTTTTTCTCCAATAGAATTTATCGTAATTTTTCCTCTGTAATGCACTATAATGTCTTACTTTTATTGTTAGAAATACCGAAATTAAAAAAAAATTACCTCCATCTCTACTCTAAAACAAGGTGAAACCCGGAAATTTTAAGAGTAAATAATGTTCTTATCACTATGAGGAAAACAAATTTCAGATCCAAAAACAGGGGGCGGCAATTTCATCAGAATTATCCGGCTGGCCATTAATTCCGAGGCTGTTATAGTTGGCCGGTGTGTGAGAGATCAACAGAATACTTCTATGCTAAGTTGGAGGAACATAATAAAAATTATCTCAGCTTATTAACCCAGGAATTAGTTAAATATAGAGAATATCTATTCGTAGCGTTCTTGAGAATTTTGGAAATGCAAAAATGGTATTTCAGATATAAATAAACTTGTTTCCAGTACTTGAAGCCGCAAATGCAGACTTCAAAATAAACGATCATGATATGTGGCTTCACCTTGGAAATAGAAGTGCGTTCAACCTATCTTTGACGTAAGTAATTGCATGGAAACTAGACAATTAAATTTTTCCTTCAACCGTGTTTAGTCTATTCCTTTTTTTGTGTTTTAAACAGTCGGCCATTATCCATGACTGTCAACGTAACGTTCGATATTCAACACAAGGACTTGTTAAGAACGGAGCCAACCACGTTTAATGTGATTGCTAATGAGGAAGTTTTATCATGGAATATTGATGTATATGCACTTAATCCAGGATATTCCATTATTGGAGTAAATGTTACTCCAGCCAATGTCACTAAGTGAGTAAAGTTTTGATACAAATAATTATTAGAAAGATTATAAAAAATCGAGCAAGTCGTGAATGTTTCTATTTTTTATAGTTTTGTGACGTTTTGAGTTAGATCACCCACCGCATTAATCCTGGGTGATCTCATGTGTCTAGTCATGTGACTAGTCACAAATAGAAATAAGCTTTCCTTTACTAGGGCCGTCGTACCCTATGTTGACCGGCTAACTGTCGCGTGGGATTCACTCAAGTTGGGAATGATAAGAGAATTGGAAGGTATTGTAGCGAAGATAAATACATGAATAACTGGTAAAAGTATGGTATATTTAACTCAACTACTAACTACGATACGCGACAGTGTTATTGATGGGTTCAGTAAATGCGTTATTAATATTTGAAGGAGCTGGGATGACCGTCCAGCTTCACTCCCGATCGTACTCTGCCCTTGCAGAGTCTTTGTAAAACGCTCAAGACCTAAAATTGCAGAGCAAGCAGTCTCACGGTCCCGAAACACTAAGACAATTAAGTATCATCATTGACACACAACTAGAACAGTCTAACAGCTTCTTTACCGAGAAGCTGGACTCAGGTGGCACCGTGAGAGTGCTGAGCTCTGCTCCTGCACGATGAGCAAGAAATCATATTTCTTTTCTCATCGTCCCACATTATAAATTTAATGTAACGTATTATTCATAATACGTCACATTGTATTCAACAAATAACCGACGTATTAATGACAATATGTCACAGTTTTATTTACACAATTCTTTAGAAATCCATGCTCATTTATGAATCATTATGAAAACACAATTAGTTCTGAGAATGGAATGAGATTAGAATAGCGAATAATTGGATTACTTTATTTGTTACCTAAAAGTCTTGGAGAAAAAACACTTTTGAAAAAATATTTTAGAAAAAAATTCCTTGAAAGGAAAAACTTTTTGAGTTAATTTCTCCTGAAAAAATGCGTTATGAAATAATTCTTCCAGAAAAAGAGCTTACACAATAACTCTTTCCAGAAAAATTGTTTTTCAAAAGAATAATCACAGTTTGTGATTAGATCATGAGGAATTTTTGTGATGATTCGATGGTGATGCGTTATGATTATGATAAAAATCTATTATTATCGGCGTAGTTGGCAACTTTTTTTCTCCCCGTTTCTCTGGGTAATCGACTCCTTTCTTTTTTATGTTTCATCTCCGAGACCCAATGATACCAAGCCCAGTTCAGAAAATCCTCAGTTAGGTATCGGAATAAATAAAAATAATCTGCCGATCAGGATGGATTGAAAGTCCATCGAATGTATTTCATCAAAAAATGTGATGTATCGATGTGTCATCACTATTTGGCACTAATTATGAAGTATTTAGTCGCTATTCACGACCAAATGGCTGATGGAAGCACTCCACGATGAATTCTTAAAGTTTTTTGGAAGGTCTATTCATAGCGCCACCTTATGGAGAGTGTTTGAGAATTTTTGATCATTAATTTTACCTGAAATATTGAATATTTACGTCGCAAATTTTATTGACGCGAAAATAAATTGACTTCACGAGTTTCCGTTGGCTTTGATTGCGTATGATTTCAACGTCCAATCAGAGTAGAAGGGTTTTCGCGGCCGACCAATGAGACATTCGGTTTTTACAAGTCGACAAGCTGACACTCGTGTGAGCTTTGCCAGAGCGGCCACTTTGAGTCGGGACTTCAAGGACAACGCTGTGTTTTTCCACAATGTCGTGCAATTCGTTCACGGGATGTCAACCTTTCAAACCTTTGTGCAAGATATTGTATCTGAACAAAGTAATAACCTGAACCGGATTGAACTGAAGTTCAGAACTCTAATTTTATCTTTAAAGATTTCCACATATCCCCAGTGATTCCGCGAGACGAGAAACTGTATCTTCTCGTCTCGTCTAGTTGTCAGGAAACCATTCTCTGGTCTCGTCTCGTATCAAAATACGAGAGCTATTTCTTCTCTCGTCTCGTCGAGAATTGAGAGATTCTCTCGTCTCGTCTCGCCTTATCTCATCTCTATAATCCAATTTGCACGAAAAAATACACAGACAGGCAGAGAGGGGGAGGCTCTCTCGACTCTCGTCTCTCATTTCTCTCATTCTCGACCGGCTGTTCTCGTCTCGTCTCGTTTCTGTCATTGTCTCGAATGACTCTTCTCGTTTGTCTCGTCTCGTCTCGTTTCTTTCGCGGCATCACTACACACCCCCGATGAACAGCATATGCAGTATTTTTTTTTTTAGGAAAATTCCTACCCGAAAAACTGAAAGGGCCTCTGAGTAAAACGTTAAAGTGCTTACGGTCACGTGGGTAAGAATTGGCAGATTCGTTTATAACAAAGGCACTTATCAGCTCACCCATTATTTGACCTTAACCATTCGAAATCGTACCGATAGCCTATTGAGCTTGAATATAACGTGCCAGTTACTAATTCCATGGAGAATCCTCAGTCTGCTCTGAGATTCCGATAGAGCCGAACACTCTATCCCACTTCATCGTTCAGTTTATGACTGCCAGTTCACTTGCTCTTTATGAAAAATATAAAAAACAAATTTTTTCGTCATTAAATTTCTCACTAGTCATACGGGTGACGATAAATTAGTTATCAGTCTTTCGTTGCGGCATTTTTTGCCTTAATTTTTTGACTAAGTAAATCGGCACTGTGATTTTATATTCATCAGTAGTTGAAATGAATCTCAGTACCACGTAAGGAAAATTTTTAATCAACGTATTGCTTGCATCGTATTATATCTGACAGTATTTTTATAATTCGAAATTTTAGCGAGGTATAACGGGAAAATGAATGTTTCGACAGTTCCCTAGAAAATCACTTGTTCCCTGGATGAATAAGCAACTAACAGAAAATGCTAAAATGATTGATTACGTTTTATAAATTATTTTAATTTTGTTTTTCAGCTTCGTAGATGCATTTGTGAGAGTCACGATAAGAAGATCAGATGTTCTATATCACATCAGCAATGTAGTTGGTTGGATTTATTTCTTAGCATGGAGCGTCAGTTTCTACCCCCAAATCTACAGCAATTACAAGAGAAAAAGTGTCGTTGGATTGAATTTCGATTTTTTATCGTTGAACTTGGTCGGATTCGTCTTGTACTCCCTCTTCAATTGCGGACTGTATTGGGTTCCAGAAATCTGGGTAAATTCGCTTTAAAAATATAACAGAATAATTATTAATTTTATTTTGTTAGTATCTTAACAATGAAGAAATTCTAATAATTGATATTGAATTACCACTTCTAAATTTGTAAAAAAAACTGAGTGCTTCTTGAAAGGCTACATTCCCTTGATATGTATTTCGAGAGAATGGAGAGGTAATTGAATTATTAAGTTTTATCTTCCATCACAAGTTTGAATATTCTATACTAAAACTGCTTTCAACCTTTTACCTCCGCATGGTCCCCGAAAACGTATCAAAATAATAAATGGACGTAAATAATTAAGTTTTTAAAAGTGCATTTCTCTATTGGACATGTAAATTGATTCTATTTCAGCTCGAGTATTTACAACGCTATCCCAGGGGTGTAATTCCTGTACAAATTAACGACGTGTTCTTCTCCCTCCATGCTGTACTTGCAACTTTAATTACCATTAGCCAGTGTTTCATCTACGAGGTAATAAAATCACTAAAATGACAATATAAATGCTTTGATTTCCTAGTACGGGATAGATGGAATTAAACGACATGGGGACAACTTCGAAATATACATGATCGTAAAACGCGAACGTTTCCATTGGAATGGCCATTATGCCATGCAGGGTGAGACAAAAGCCAAACCTCGGGTCGTCATCACCCCCGGTAGATCAGTTGGGAGGGTGCCTGGCGCGTAACTGGGAGACGCGGGTTCGAATCCCGGCTCGGCGGTGCGGGATTTTTTCTTTCTAAATTCTAATTCTCTTTGATTTTCGTTTTATGATGATCTACCCACGTACGGGGTGTTACTTCGTGTCATTAACGCCGTCGACATAGCGCCAATGTCCGCGCTTATTATCAACCAAGCATCGGTTAAATAAATTGTGCAATCGTTTATACATATTTATTGCAGAGGTTAATCCTCTAGGTGAAAGTCAGACTCAGTACTACAGTTGAACGTGCCATAAGTTATACGAAATGGCATATGGACCTGTGATAAGTTACATCCCCACCAGCGCTTTGTTACTCGTTCCCCTCGTCTCAAGCAAAGTAGGGGTGACCAATCAGATTCCCGTTGTATGTGGAACTAACACACAGTAATACTGACCTATGGTGAAGCATGCGCAACTACCTCCAACTATTCGGGCGCATATGTGAAACGGGCTGGCGGTGGGGGATGCGATATTTTCTTTCTTCTTCCTATCATAAAAAGGAGGAAGGAAATCGATCTCGATATATCTCGAAAATCTCGAATCACTGTCACCGTAAGACTGAAACCGAAGCGCCACTACATCAGGAAATGGGAAGGCGCATGCGCAGTCTACTTGGGATACATATGTGTGTAATTAACAGTGGACACCCGGTAAAATCGCGGACCTTGTTCGACGATCATTTGAGATCCGATCAATTAGCCCCTCATGTATAGATATTCCAAATTTTTATTTTTTTCCTCATTGAAGTAGTTTTCAAAAAAATTGCGAGCTAATAAAAAACAT